CGAAAGAAAACTTGAATATCTCGGTACCGTGTCAAATTTTAACTTATTTGTAAATATTATTATTTTTTCGTCGCAATATCGACATATACAGTATGTTCCTTCGTGACATGCTAATATTTAATAGGGTGATTCTTGGTCCTATACTAAGAGAAAAACTTCATATGAATGTATGTCCTAAACCTAAGTCCTAAACATCTTAATTTCTGAGATACAAGGTGGTAAAATTTTCTAAAAACAAACTTTTTTTTCACAATAACTCTTATTTTATTATAGATATCTTTATGAAACTTGATACACGTTTTCTATGCACCAAAATACATTTTTTGGTGTACAAAGAATCTTATTTATTTTGGCCAGTGCCGTCCATAAGGGGTTTATATTGAATATTTTTGAGAAAAGTGGTACCCCACTGACTTAAAAATTATCTTCAAAATCTCCATTCATTTCTAAATATTTTTTATCTTTTGATTTTTTTCGTCCGCATAGTTTTTGCTTAAAAAATTAAAATCAATTTATTTCAGGGTCAAATCGCTGAAAATCTGATGCGGTGACTGTTGTGTGGAAATCATTTCTGCATTGGCTGGAAGGAAATTAAGAAATAAAACATTTTTTTTGTATATCAAAAAATGTATTTTGATACATAGAAGACGTGTATCAAATAAAATATAACCTTTTAGGATATAACATTTCGAGATATTTTGAAAAAAAATATTAGAAAATTTTACCACACTGTATCTGAAAAGTTAAGATGTTTAGGACATATATTCATATAAAACTTTTTTTTCTCAGAATGGGTCCAAGAATCACCTCTTTAAATATTAGCATGTCATTAAGAAACACATTGTATATATCGGCATAAAAGTGGAGCACTTTTACGCCTAAGCACAAAAGCATAGATAAATGAAACAGGTTTAGATTGGAAAGTGCCCATGTACAATGTAAACACTATTTGGCGCTATTCTTGCAACGGTCGCGACCCAAAGCTTTTGATAATTTCGGATTGGTTCGGCTTTTTCCGGAATTATGTCCCCAAATGTTATTTATTTAAATTTATTATTATTTCGTTATAATTTTATAAATAAAATACAGTGTGTTGCATACAAGAAACTTTATTTTATATAAGGACATGTATGTGAAATACCTATGAAACATTGGAAACCGACGTTATGCCACGATCCACGATGGTTTTTGCAGTTCACAGTTTACAACACAGTTTTTTAGTTTTTAATGCCACTTTTTCACAATTATCACGGGATTGAGTAAGTAAAATTTAAATTAAACTCACAAGATAGCTTTAATTACTTTGACAATGGACGCTCTCGGTATTTTTTCAATGAGGACTGTTTAAATTTTGAGATATTTTATAATTTTTGAATATTCTGACTTTCACAAGAGAAAATTATTTCTGTTATTGTTTGGGCTGTTGTTCTTAGCAACCGCTATAGCAGCGCGAGTTCGCGTACAGCGGTCGCGACGAAAACAATTATATATTTTGACGGGCTTTCCAATCTAAATTTATTTCCTTTATCTATGCACAAAAGTATGAAAATATATTATTAGACGTGTCAAATTATATATTATTATAAAGTGTCAAATTCAACGAGCGTAACCATAGTTTCTCGATATATAATTACATACAACGTATTACTTTTAAATATTTTTATACAAGGCGAGTCCTAAATAAGTACAAATATTGTCAGAGCTGGTAGATCTCGATAAAAGAAACATATTTTCTCTATACCTTTTTTCAAATAAGTCCAAAATAACCGAGTTATTTTACTTTCAAAATTTCCAAAAAAAGGGATTTTTTGTTTAAATTTTGAGAACCACTGAATCTTTTCAGGGTTTTCTTTCTTCTAAATTTAATTAATCTATTACCTATGTTGTCATAGTATAAAGAAATTATGGCTTTTAACTAAAAACTATAAACAAATCGAACTTTTAATCGTGTTTCTGGGGAAAATATACTACCTCTAAAAATATTTGCATTTATTAAAGACTCACCCTGTATTATTTGGAACGTTTAAATTATTTAATAAATTATTTGTGACGTTTGAAAAAAAATAGCATGTTCTATTCGGAGTAAAAATGACTTCTTGTGCCTCACCTGTAATGTTAAAAACGTCATAAAAAGTATCATTTAGGAGTAAACCTAATAAAACAATATACCAATTTTATCTGAAAAAATAAAAAAGTTATAGAGGTGAGCTACTTTTGATAAACACCCGGTATGTGATTACCTCCATTTTTTCTTATCTGAAGAACATGCAAAAAAGTTTTTATTTGCTGAAAAGAATATGGAGGAAAATACTGCTGAGCCGAGTTATACAGATATTAAAAAAGTTATATCTGTGACAACTGTTACTCGTATAACTGGGAATCTCGTCATAAAAATGCCTCTCCAAAGTTCATACCTTCATTTTTACCAGTCGTTCTTTTATATTTGTGTTATAAATCACGGTAAATTATTGCTAATGCCTTGTACTAACAGATTTATAGTAGGTTTAAAATATTCTTAACCCAATGAGACAAAGTTTGAATATCTAATTTTATGTAGATAACTGTGCTTCTTTGCGAAATTTCTGCTTAAAGATGATGGCACTAAAAAAATAAACTGAAATAAATCATTGGTAATTTATTATTCTTTCTTGGATTTTCGTACTTTTTAGAGATTTTTACATTTAATTTAGGTGAAAGAATAGAAACGTTCACAAAAAAATTAAAACGTGCCTACTCCTCATAAAATCATTCATTATGACATTAAAACTCAGTATGCAAAGTTTCATAACATTCCGTATAAGGCTTATGCCTCAAAAATCTGTGCGAAATTATCGTAATCGTTTGAATCCGCTAAACGCTCACCTATTGGCCTGACGTCACTGCTTCGATAAGTATTTCCGCGCGAGTAAACGGTGCTGTCTGCACGCTGTGGAATTTCTAACAAAACAAGCTAGAATACGACATATCGCGTTGTGCTCGGATGTATTTTGTATATTAAATTTGGTTTATTGTGATTAATATTTGGAGTTTATTACAAGTTTAAAAACAAAGCTTCTTAGTGAGATGGAGGACGGGTTTACTTGAAAGCGATAACAAACAATACTTGGTTTTTAACAATACAAAATTATTGAGTTTTTGAGCTGTCAGAGGCCCGTATTTAGGAGGAGGGCGCCAAATTTTAAATTTTAATTATCACATTAAACTGAATATTTGCATGCTTTACATAATTTACATGCTAAGAAAATGTAAAATTATCGTATTGTTGATCTGATACAGGGCCGTATTAAGGAGAAGGAGCCAAATCTTAAATTTTAATTGTATTGACCTGAAAATTCGCACACGTATACAGGGTGTCCAGTTTAAAATGAGGTACCTACATGGGGAATAATAGGGATCTTGAAGACCGTTAAGGTTACAAGATCGATTAAATAGAAGAAAAGTTGCGTTTTTGTGTGTCCAAAAATAATCTAGGTCTATTTTTATTTAATATTCATATACCGTTACGTAAATTCAGGGAGAAAAAGAAAAATGTGCATTTTCTAAACACCCCACCATATTTTCTTTATTATTGGAGCTAAGGTCATCAAAATTTTAACATTGGGGTAAGGCAATATGGAAATTTTAAAAATTATGTCCAAAAAAGTCTAGGCGTACTACGTTGCGCATGGCCGAAGTGCACTTTTGCTTTTCCTATGGGCGCCATATTGATTGACATGGTTGAAAACATTTTTAATAAGGATTTTTAAAATGCCAAATTTAAATATAGCGCTCATAAGAAAAATAAAAGGTAACCTTGGCCGTGCGCAACATAGAAGGCCTAGGTTTTTTTGATATCATTTTTAAAATTGCCATGTTGCTTTGGCCATATATTGAAATTTTGATTACCTTAGCTCCAATAATAAAGAAAATATGGTGGTTTTTCGAAAATGTTCAATTTTTCTTTTTCACCTTGTATCTACGTAACCGGTATGGATTTAAAATAAAATAGACCTAGATTATTTTTGGGCACATAAATACGCAACTTTGCTTACATTTAACCGACTTTGTATCTTCAACGGTTTCCAAGATCCCCATGTACCTCATTTTAAATTGGACACCCTATAGGACCCATATTAAGCGAATAATTTACAAGTGAAAAAATTCATAAAAAAAACTTTTTAAAAACAAGCTTAAAATTAAATGCACTTAAAAGTAGAAAATATGAATTAAAAGCAAGGGGCGCAAAGTAACGATTTAAACTTCTGTGGATTATTTTTTGAAGTATTAATACACCCAGGGACAAAACACCACTTATTTGAACTCATTTTACTTCTTCAAAACACCAAAACAATGAAAATAAACAATACACTTTGCGAACGTCTGCAAAAACAATGCGGCAAATGCACGAACGTACGGACGTCATCGATCGATCAAAGCAGTGACGTCAAAAACAGGTAGCCTCGAGCCGGGTACGTTTTCTAGCCTTGCTGCATTTCTCAATTTTGTTTTGCGTTTATGTGAGAAAATTATAGTTTTTAAGAAAAATTTTGAGTGTCATGTTTTTTACTCATATGTAGCTATCGAAATTCATTGAAATTAGAAATTAGTGAATATGTCTATTATTCAAACTGTTCGCTGTGTCCCAGTTTTTTCATGTTTTTTCTGTGAGAACTTTTCAAAAATCAAAAATTCTAGAAGTATTTAGACGTTACAATAGCAAGTTTAATATTTTTATAAGGTATATCTTTTATAAAAATATTTTTTATGGTTTCCTAGGACACATTTTTATAACTTTTGCAGTTATTTTTCGATTTATTATAAAGTTTTAAAAAAGTAGATTTTTTTTATATAAATCACATGATTAAAATAAAAAATCACTTGATTTAAATCACGATTTAAATCGTGATTTAAACCATGCGAACAGTACCTCTTTGACTGCCATTTGAGCATTTAACTAAAGAAAAACAAGAATAAGTAACAATAACATTTATTGAATTTCTTCTATTATTAATTTATATAAACATTACTTATCACACAAGTTGGCTATTATCATTATTTATAACAATTTTGGTAAAATAAATTAACATTTCATATCTCTAATCATGAATTATTTATGAAATACATATAAGTATTTTATCAAAAAAAATATTAAACGATCTCAAGACACAAAAAATAGACATATTTTTTAAATAATTTTTAAAATGTCAAACGATGAAAAAAGAAGTGTCCAAGTGGCTTTTGAAATTAAAATTTATGTTGATAATTCCTGTTGTTTCAACTACTAGAATCATTTATTAAAAATTACCATAAATAATTTCCAATATACATATAATATTCAAATGGAAAAATGCCTAGAATTATTATATAGTTTCAAAAGCCACAATGACGCCGTTTTTTTTCGACATACGTCAGAAAAATAACTGACGCTTTGATCAGCAAAAAATTCTACTAAACATTATAATCAAAGACATATAAAACAGAAGAAAATCGGTACTAAAAGTACTCCCACCATTTAACGTATCCTTCAAATTTCTGCATTGGTCAGGATAAAATTTCCTCAAAAAGTTTCGACTAGTTTTGGCCAAAACACAAATCTCGTAATCCGTTCCTGAGTCTAAATTTATTTTAGATTTGTTCTTTACGTCAATTTCCAGGACTCTTTGGAAATATGGCAACGACGCTTGGAAGGGGATGTTCACTGAGTTGTTGCTTTGACGGATGTAGACCGCCGTGTCAGCAATGTCATCGTGTTTTAAGATGCGCCATTTTACTCTAAGGATGTTCTTTTTGCTATGATTAAAAAAAAAGAAATGACGATTGGTATAAGTCCTATAATTTTTTTTCAGTGTATATTAAAATACTTACATGCTCAATTCTCTAAATTTCAAGTCAGACAACACACCAAAATCTCCTTCAAGACTATCAAGTAGTCTGGTAGTGTTGACATTTGAAGGACAAGTCAGCTGTTCCTCGGATATTTCGTAGAAATTCTTCGAGTCCAAATATGGTGGTGATACACATTTGACAGTCTTGAATACCGGATCTAGGGTCAATTGACTTTTGAAATGACGTAAGAGTGGCCGAAGGAAGCAGTCACAATACAATGGATTCCCTAAAATCACAAATAAAGCAATAAGCAATACAGTAGGTTTCAAAATGAATTTAGCAAAAACTACAAGGAACTAAGTAGGCAGCAAAGCTTAAAATATAGCCATACCAACCTTCAAAATTCACTTTAGCACCCTTTATAATCATTTCAGTCATCTCAGGAACAATATTTTGAAGCTGGTTATTGCTGACATCCAGATAATCCATCTTTGAGACGTTTTTAATGTGATTCCATGGCAGTTCAGTTAACTCATTCATGGCCAAAAATAATGTAGACACATTTTTTGGTAACCGGAAGAATTCAACATCTGATGTTATGTCATGGAGCTTGTTGTAAGACAGATCTAGTGTCCTAAGTCTTGTTAAATTACCAATAACACCTAAAATAAAAGGAATAATTATACTAGGTCTTGACAACATCTTGATAAAAAATATGATTGGTATAAAAAAAACTTTAATTAGGAGAAAATTAAAAATATTGCCTTACTTTTTCTGATATCCGCTATAGCATTGTGGCTCATATTGAGTACTTCCAGTTTTCCAGTACCGAATGTTAGATCATGAGTAATCACTGGAATAGAGTTGTAGGACAAATCTATGACGTTTAATTTGTAGGGGTAGTAGGGGTTGCTTGGAAACATCTTCCTCGTGATGAAAGTGATCTTGTTATGACTGAGATTCAGCTGAAAATATTAAAAACCTTTGAATAAACAGATTAAGGAAGGAGTATAATGCCATACATGTATTCATGCATTAGAAGAGAAATCAATATCATGAACCTCCATTTTTGACAGTACTCTTTCATTTGAAATATTTGAATTTGATTTGAGAATTAGAAAAAAATCTGAAGTATACTCAGTAAAAAGTATACACAGGTATATATACAGGGTGAGTCTTTAATAAGTGCAAATATTTTCAGGGGTAGTAGAATGTAGAATGTTTAGGAGGGGAGTTAGTCACCGCGACCTTAAAGATCTATTGTGTGTTCCCCTTTCTTGAGCTATAACCAGTTATAACTCATCATACAGTCTCAAGGCTTTAACAAAAGCCAGTATCTGAGACGGCTCCATAGAGGCCAGCTCTCCATCCTTGACATCAGCCGTACCAAAGTTCATGGCACGAATGGTCGTCGTCTCGGCGCACTCAGTGATGAGGTGTTTCCCCATATTCCCCACAGAATCTGCATTCGCCGTTGTTTCTCAGCTTCAGCCTACTGAGGTGTTCGTTGAGGAGACAGTGTCCTGTTAGGAACCCCGTGACAATCCGAAGATTGTTTTTACTTAAATCAAGGAAAACCTTTGATTTTTCTCGGTCGTAGGTTCTAAGGAACTTTTTCAAGTGTCTTAGACCGTTGGAGGACACCCATTCCAAGTTGCGTTTGTAGTCTTCCAGATTCTTCAGTTCCGCTTTCAGTCGGTTTCCGCTTGGAAAACAGAACGGTTCTGGTCCAGTTAGTGGAGTGTTCGCTCCTTTCCTAGCTAGATCATTTGCTTTTTCATTGCCTTCTATCCCTTGGTGAGCAGGCACCCAGAGTAGGAGGACTTTATTTTCTTTGCCCAACTTGTTGAGCTTCTCTAGGCATTCTTTGACCAACTTCGAATTGATGGTTACTGAGTAGAGCGCGTTTAGTGCTGCATGACTATCGGATAGGATGGCAATTTCCTGTTTTCGATAGTTCCTATCTAAGATAAAGGGGTTTTAGGGGTAGTATGTTTCGATCCCAATAAAAAAATAAACTTTTGATAAATTTTTATAAATTTCATTTATTTATAATTTGTTCTTGTTTTAAGATGCTTCAAAAATACGATAATTCTGTTAGTCTCTAGTAATATTTTTTAATTTTTGTTTATATTTACCAAATACCTCACAGACCAGAGTGTGTTGTATTAGAAAATTAAAGATTAGCCCAAGTTTCCTTCTTATTTTTTCTTTCTTTTCACTTATAGGGTTATTTTCCCGTACCCACGGGCATTTTTTCCGAAACATCTTATTTCTTATCTCATAAAAGCAATTTTCCAGACGAGATAGGGCCTAAAACCGTATCGTTCTTATCGAAAAACCTTTTCCTGCTCTTTTTTCTTATAAAGGAAACCTTTGAAAATTGGAACGTATTGGTTGAAAATTAGATAATTTTAAGAAAAAAGAGGGTACCGTACATAGCAAGACTTTTGTTTTATTATCTCTTTAAATTAAATTAATATCTTTATTAATTTTCTTACCTCTTTAATCAAAAATACTAAGAAAAATTATTTTATATTTCAGAAAGTTTGGAATGGAATTTTGACCACCCTGTATGACTTAAGATTACGAATCGTAATTTACGATGTTTATCATAAAGCAAATACAGACCAAGAATAAGTAGTAAGTACCTAGCATAGTTTTGATTTCAAGACGCATCTTATATTTCTAATAATTTTATTAAAAAAACTGAAAAACATATTTTTATCATTTATTATTATACAGGGTGAATCTTAAATAAGTGCAAATATTTTCAGGGCTAGTAGATCTCGCTAAAAGAAACATATTTTTCAATTATTATAAGTGCAAAATAACCGAGTTATTCAAGTTTGAAAACTTACAAAAACAGATTTATTTTTAAAAAAATTTGAAAACCACCGGATTTTTTTTTGTATTTACATCCCTTTTAGTGCCGTAACCATGGTAATAACAGACATTAAGAAATTATACCGTGGGAAAATTTGCGAGGAACAGGCAGTACTAAAAAGGTTTATAAAACATACAGAAAAATTTAAAAGAAAATGCACGATTTTCAACGTTTTTTTCGCGAAAAAAAAACTCGTAGACGTGTTCCTGGGGTCGAAATATACCACCTCTAAAAATATTTGCACTTATTTAAGACTCGCTCTGTATATCTCTGTATATTTATATATCTGCAATTATGAAAATAAATTTAATAATTAATATCTTACAAATACGTAAAGTGATTAAGAAAGAAGCGTCATTCCACTCACTGTTCATTAGGGTGGGTCAAAAAAATCGACTATACAGGGTTGTTCACCACATACGACACGGAGTATTGTAGCTAAACGATTAGATTTTTACAAATTGTAAGTTTTGGGTTCGTTGAAGGACTATTAGAGCTACAATTTAAAAATATTTTTACAAGATACAGAGTGTCCCAAATAAATAAAAAATATCAAAGTTGTATTTTTTTAAATGGAACACCCTGTATATTATTACATTTTAGTTTCTACGATTAAAATAAAGGTAAATTTGATAAAGGTTTATTACACTTAAACCTTACCGTTCTTGAAATATTTTCAATTTTTGTGAAATTGCAGTCAAAATTTTAAGGCTTCATTTCTCCAAGGGTATCAAAGTTTTTAATACTAAATATTTACTGAAGTTTATTTATTGATCAGTTATTGTGTTGCAATAATAAAAATTATACTACCTTATACAGAGTGTCTAAAATTTTATTTTAAATAATTACTAGCTTTAAACGGCAATAACTTGTTTAATTTAAATGGTACACCCTGTATATTTTATGAGAATCAGATGCACAATTTAATTGTCTCTTAAATTGTATTATACCATTTTTTTACCTATAGCTTCAAGTTTCCGTAGAAAATGCATTTTCTTGTAATTTTAAATTCATTTATCAATATACCCATGGAATACTGACATTTTAGATTATTTTCAAAGATGTACCAAATTTTTAAAGAGTACAGATACTAATATTGTCGATATAGTTTGTTTATTTCATTAAAAAATAAAAAAAAACTGTTTAAATATTTGTTAAAGAGGACCAATTAATATGATTCCAGTATTCAAACTACATGAATTGACTGTTTGCGTTGATTAATAATAATTGCTCCAAAAAGTAAAAAACTGATTTTTTTATGTGTATTAGACAGTGTGGTAAAAAGTAACACCTTAAAAATGATATTTCATTTTTTGACAAATGCTTAGTTGTAACAACAGAGACATTCATTTTTATAACTTATTATTATTATATTGATTTCTGGTTCAAATCCACATTTATTTAGAATAATTTATTCACGAACATATTTAAGTATGTAATTAATTAGTATTTGGGCGGAAATAATGGTGGTATATTTAATTAATGGTATACTCTTTTATGAAGATTTAAATAGTTTTTTTTGCATACAAATGGGCTAGTAATATTATCATTTTGTTAAAAACGATAATATTACTAGCCTGTACATTTTGTACATTTGCTGCTTTAAAAACAATCTAAAATGTCAATATTCCATGGGTATATTGATAAATGAGGTCTAAATTATAAGAAAATGCATTTTCTACAAAAACTTGAAGGGATAGGTAAAAAGTGGTATAATACAGTTTGATAGACAATTAAATTATGCATCTGATTTTCCGAAAATATACAGGGCGTTCTATTTAAATTAAACAAGTTATTGCCGTTTAAAGCTAGTAATTATTTAAAATAAAATTTTAGACACTCTGTATAAGGTAGTATCATTTTTATTATTGCTACACAATAACTGATCAATAAATAAACTTCAGTAAATATTTAGTATTAAAAACTTTGATACCCTTGGAGAAATGAAGCCTTAAAATTTTTACTGCAATTTCACAAAATTGAAAATATTTCAAAAACGGTAAGGTTTAAGTGTGATAGATCTTAATAAAATTTACCTTTATTTCAATCGTAGAATCTAAAAATAGAATAATATACAGGGTGTTCCATTTAAAAAAATACAACTATAGCATTTTTTACTTATTTGGGACACTCTGTATCTTCTAAAATTATTTCTAAATTGTAGCTCTAATAGTCCTTCAACGAACCCAAAACTTAAAATTTGTAAGAATCTAATCGTTTAGCTACAATACTCCGTGTCGTATGTGGTGAACAACCCTGTATATAAGAAAAAGGTTAGTAGGCATCTCAAAAAAATTATCTCCAAGTATGAGCTCTTAATTTTAATAGAAAGGTCCCCACTTCAGTTATTTTGTGTTGAAGTAATATTTTGAAATACAAATAAATCAGCTTAAAATGAGTATTATATTATTCTATATCCCCTTATTTTGTTCTATATCCCTAAAATCGGCTCAATGCACAGCTAATAGACACATTTGTTCTATATCCAAATCTAAAATCACTAATATTTTTTAAATAAAGCTTCTAAAAGTAAAATAAATACATATGTTTGATAGGTTTTTATATTACCTTTAATTTATATGTTTAATAGAACCATTCTGGTATATAGTCTTCACGGATATCCAGTTTAAACTTTAAACTTTGTTTTCTCAGTTTCATCGAAATGGTCTATAGAACAATCTTATTCTAGGGTGACGATTTACGAGATCTCTGTAGTATGCATTATTCTATTATACGCCCTGTATAGTATTATTTATCCAGATTTCACGTCTATTTATATCCAATAACTCACCCTTTCCAGAGACAGACACTCCTCGAACACCCCGTTCGTTTTGTTGTCCAGCTTGACCAGTCTGTTACCGGACAGATCCAGATCGGTGAGTGCGACCAAGCCTGAAAAACGGATAAATTCGTCTTTTATTCCCGTTTATTCCCATTCCCGTATCCCGTATCGTTCGTTATACGCGCATATCGACCCGTCTCTTCTGGAAGATTAGCCACATCCATCCGGGATATACACTGTGCGAAAGTAGAGAGAGAATAGTCTTTTGTTTGGATTTGTTCGGTTGGAAAGCTCAAGTACGAAACGCTCTAGTGATGTATTTCAAATCATAATATACCGTTTAGTTCAATTTTTATGTTGCTAAAACTTTTGTAACAACTTTCAACAGCTACTAGGTAATCCTAAAGATAAAACACCTCCGTTCAGAAAAAGTTAATAGTTTGTTAATTTTTTTTATTATTTGAAAAGTACTACCATGGGTTTCCGGAACCGGAGCTGTTTTTCGGAACCGGAAATTTCGGTACCGCGCCTCTTAGAAACCGGGATTTCCCGTTTTTTTCGCTACTGTCGGTACTGACTAATTTTTGGTCAGTGGTGGTGCAGTTCATCAATCAGAAAACAAGAGATGGTTTTTCAAAGTAAAACGAATAAAAAATTGAAATTTTTAATAAAAATAATATCAAACTATTACGTAATCAGTCATGAAAAATATAACATGGACACAAACATGAACACAAGTAAAGAAAAAGGTATATAGTTCAGTCATTGGGGATTTTTGCTTGGAACAAAGTCCGGAAGTTTTGCAACTTTGCAGGTTTATAGGTTTTGGGGTCCCTACCTAAAATCCATAAAACGCACATTTCCAGACTTGCCGCCGGCGCCGCCATCTTGCCAAGATGGCGCCCAAAATCGGTATTTTGTGAATATCTCGAAAACTATGCGTTTTTCGCAAAAATTTGAGAAGAGTAAAATTAAAGAGAATAAAATTTCCTATAAAAAAGGTTTCATGATAATTTTCGCTAAAGTTGACCGTTTAGGCACAAAATCCCTAGAAATTTTACAATTTTGCGTAAAATATGATATATTATGTATAGTCGATTTTCCGAAATCAAATGTCGATTAGAGTTCACTAAAACTAGTTTAAGTTTAGTTTCTTCAATTTTGTCATAAAACAATGGCGTATCATTAATTCGCTCATTAATTTATGAATAATTAATTTTAATTATTGAAAATGTGTACTTGTTTCCACACCACCCAAGAGGTAAAGTATATGACGCGTTTATTTTAACGTTGTCTCCCCGGAGGCCTACTCCACTAGATAAATTAAAATCTTATCTGCACAAGCCCGACGGATCTGGCTCATTGATGTCAAAGTCGATCGTATCTGCTGTGTTGGGCTCATCAGGGTGGTCTCTCAATACGTCTAACTCTTCATCTTCAGCCACCAGAGGGATATCTACAGACAAGTCCAACTCCTCTTCATCGGATACGTCGAGTGACACTTCAGTGACGTTGTCACAGGATTTTTCATTGCAGTATGCACAAATTATTGAACATTTTAATCCTTTCTTCCAACCCCATTCTTCGGCATCTTTGGTACAACCAGACCAATGCTGAACCTGGTGGTATGTAAGTTCGCAATGAATGCTGTCCAGCACGACAATTAATTATTCATAAATTAATAAGCGAATTAATGATACGCCACTGTTTCATGACAAAATTGAAGAAACTAAACTAAAACTAGTTTTAGTGAACTCTAATCGACATTTGATTTCGGAAAATCGACTATACATAATATATCATATTGTAAAATATCAAAATTATTATAAAATATCAAAATTGTAAAATTTCCAGGGATTTTGTGCCTAAACGGTTGACTTTAGCCAAAATTTTCATAAAACCTTTTTTATAGAAAATTTTATTCTCTCCCAAAAGTACCGAAAGAACCGGGAATTAATAATTTCGAGTCCCGGTTCTGAACCCTACTAAACCTAGTAATACCACTAATTTTGACGTCCCAATTGCTCACGTTGAAATTAGAAGAACATACTTCTACGCTAATTGAAACCATAATTTTAAGGTCCTGAATAAAGCTTAAATGCTTTTTTTTCCTCTCTTGGATAATATAATATTCCTATGTTCACCATATTCACCACATTGACTAAAGTTTCTATTTAGGTCGTATACAAAATTACCGCCCCTATTATAACTTCGCAATCGCCCGAATCTGTGGCCAATTTCCTTCCAGAACCCTGGAAATATTATTTAATACGGCGGAAACTTACCTTGGAACGCTCCGTTCGGAATGGCCGTAATATCGTTACGACTCAATTTCAACTTTATCAGTTGCAGCAAGCCCTCGAACGCCTTGGCGGTCACGTTGTCGATGCTATTGTCCGATAGATCCAGCTCGAACATGACGGGCATCTTGCCGAAAGCGTTGCGGTTCAGTTTCGTCAAATTGTTACCCTGAAATATAGTATATTGTTACCTTAAAATCAACTGAAATTTTTGCTTCTAAAAAATATTTTGTTCTCTAAAAAATGTTACCCTAAAATAATTTTGTTACCTTAAAATACCCTAAAATTGTTGCCCTAAAATATTCTGTGATTATCTAAAAAAGTGTTACCCTCAAATATTTTATTACCCTGAAATTGTTGCCCCAAAAAATGTGTTATCCTGATTTTTTTACCTTATAATACCCTAAAATAGTTTTATTGCCTTCAAATACCTCGAAATGTCTATTATGAAAAAATTATGTTATCTAAAAAAATGGTTACCCTGAAATAATGTTGTAACGAAAATGCCGTAAAATTGTTACCCTAAAATAGTTTTAATACCGGGTGCGTCTCAAAAGTGGCTCACCCCCCTATAACTTTTTTATTTTTTCAGATAAAAAAACGAGATTTGGTATGTTAGTATTTGACATAAAATAGGATTGATTGACGAATTCAATTGTTTTTGGTCACTTCCTGTTTCACCGGAAATTACTACAATTTTTCATTTTTAAATGGCACCCTTGGTATTTTTTACTTTATTCGATAGAAAATGACACTCTGAATAAAACGGCATAAAATATCATATGTCAACTTTTAACATTTTCGCTTTAAAAAATCGAATTTTTAATTTCAATCTAGAGTGCCTGTACTAAAAACACTAATTTTTAATCTAGGAGTATTCAATTGATTTTAGCTACTTCCTGTTTCACCGGATTTTTGACCGCCAACTTTTGATTTTTAAATGGCACTCCCGGTAAATGGCACTATATTTCTACTTTATTCTATAGAAAATGACACTCTGAATAGAATGACATTTCATATATCAACTTTTGACATTTTTACATATGGTTTATTTGAAATTTTTGTAACATGTGGTTCATAACAACTTGACTCGAAATACCAAGTGTGTGGTACCAAATTATTCCTAATTTTTTTTTCCAAATATGCTAATGAACCACCATCGTACCATTTGAAAATATTGAGATATGATCAAAAATACGATTTGAGTATCTTTTAACCGGCCAGAACAAGACACGAAAAACATTAGACGATCAAAACTATTTTTCCAAGGCTCCTTAATTAAAAATTAGTGTTTTTAGTACAGGCACTCTAGATTGAAATTAAAAATTCGATTTTTTTAAAGCGAAAATGTTAAAAGTTGACATATGATATGCCGTTCTATTCAGAGTGTCATTAGTGTCATTTTCTATAGAATAAAGTAAAGAAATACCAAGGGTGCCATTTACAAATCAAAAGTTCTAGTCATTTCCGATGAAACAGGAAGTGACCAAAAACAATTGAATTCGTCAATCAAACCTAATTTATGTCATATAAGCCATTTGTGAGCCATTTTTTGTACATTTTTTTGTTTTAAATATTATATTATACAATAGATAAAAATTTTCTTCTTGGAAAAACTCTGTTATCTAAAAAATTGATACCCTAAAATAAAGATGTGACCATAAAATGCCCTGAAATTTTTATCTTGAAAAATTATATTATCTAAAGAAATTGTTAACCTGAAATAAAATTTTTATCCTAAAATTGCTTTGTTATATTGAAATACCCTAAAATGGTTACCCTAAATTGTTTTGTCAGTTTCAAATGCCGTACATTATTTATCTTGAAATTTTTTTTTCAATGTTATCTAAAAAATTGTTGGCCTGGTATGTTTTTACCTTAATATGCCATGAAATAGTTTCGTTCCCTTGAAATGCTGTAAAATTTGTTACCCTTAAATAATTTTGTTAAGTTGAAGTACCCTGAAATTAATTATAAAGAAATTCTGTTAGCTAAAAGAATTGTTAAAATTAATAATCTTGTTACTTTACCCTGAAATTATACCCTAAAATAATTTTGATTGTCTAAGTTTATACCAATAGCCTATTTTACCTGCATATACAAGTACTGCAAAGACGTCATCTCACTTATGGCAGCCCAAGGTGGTTGGGTCATACCGTTGTAACTCAAATTCAACCTCTGCAACGTTAGCAAGTTCATAAAACTGCCCGGCTCCAAGCTATCCCCGAGATTATTAAAACTCAAGTCCAGATTTAACAGTGAGTTCATCGAAGGCCATAATTTTGAAGGCAGTTCTTCAAAGTTATTGTGGGATAGATCCAAATGGGAGGTTGATATTGGAAGGATAAACAAGGAACTGATATTATTGTGGTGTAGAATCAACTCCCTGGTACTAGCCAATCTGAAAAAAAAAACAGAAATTATAAGGCGAATAGCTAAACAATATAAGATTAAAGGCTGATTCATGGTACACCGTGACGGGCCGGGGCCGTGCGACGGTGAAAGCACGGCCAAACATTGTCAAATGTTATTTATACCTATGCATTCATGCTAAGCCGAGCACGGGCCGAGCTTCGCCGGAACCCGTCCGTGCCCCGTCCGAGAAATGTCGGTGTACATTTTTCCTCGGATCCGCTACGGTCCGGCCCCGTTGCGGCAAACATAAATGAGTCGCCCGGGCTAAATACTTCGTTCGTCTACGGGCCTATAGCGACTGTTTTCTAGCAGTGTTGCCGCACCCAACTTTTAGCGCGTACCACATTATAAACTAAAAATGTACCACTTTGGTACAATTTTTTAAAGCACAACAAAATACATCTGCAAATGACTTTAACCGGTTTGGTCGCTGTGAATTTCTTCATAAATTTCTACATAAAAAAACTTCCTGGAGAAAGACACAAATCGAGACGAAAAACATGAAATAGAAATTCAGAAAACCCAATTATAAGTATGTATAGGTTGAAGAATTCTAAGTAATTCTAATACTACACACAATACTTGGAAAACTTAAATTTTATTTAAAAAAAACGCAAATATAGAAGCATGTTAGAAACAGTAAATTTTCAAGTTTTTTCTTCGGGTTATTTAATATAGGCAACGCTATAGACATTACAACGTTTATAATACGTCGTTAATTAATGCGGATTTTCTCCGAATGGTATCGGTAAGCGCGTTTAATGCAATATCAACGACAATAATTATTAAATATCTATTCAATTTCGGTGCGCGTGGGAAATAATTATTGTACCAAATCATCCTGGATTTGAAAATGTAGTACTACTGTACCAAATAGAATTAAAAGTATCAAATTTGGTACAAATGTACCACTGCGGCAACACTGTTTTCTAGAATATAATCGGCACGGACATGATCCCCGTTGTCAACTCGGTGTAGCATATATTGAAGGCCCGGACGTGGCTCGGTGTCTACTTTACGGAACGTGCCCGGCTCGGGTACGGCCCGGTGTACCATGAATCAGCCTTAAAACAATAAAACTGATTTTCCCAAAATTCCAAACACACGTGCTTTGATTAAGGTTTGATTAAGGTTTGCAGAGCTTCAGCATTTGCCATAAAATAGCGAGAAATTTGTTACAAAACCATATAAATTATATATCACTGTAATCACAAAACTTCAATCTATTTCCGTATTGTAACGAAATTTTAAATTTTTTCTTTATTTTTGAGAAAATTTAGTCCAAACATAAGAAATATTTTGTTGTTGTTTAACCATCAAAATCTTAAAAATGAAGAAGTTGTCTAAAAATGTGCTGCTATACGGATATAGTATAATCCTTTATCTTAAACAACGCAAGGAACTCCACAAGGTGGAGTGACCTCCCCCCTACTGTGGAGCTTGGTAGTGGATGAACTACTGGAAGAATTAACTCTAGCTGGAATACACTGCATAGGGTACGCAGATGACATAGTCATCATTGCACAGGGGAAACATGAAGGCACCCTGTGTGATATTATCCAAAGAGGATTCCGCATCGCTGAGAGATGGTGCAGGACTGTCGGGCTGAGTATTAACTCAGATAAAACCGCAGTAGTGCCATTCACCAGAAAGCGAAGTTTGAAAAACTTGAAAAGAATCCATCTAGATGGAAAGGAAATACTGCCATCACAGGAAGTGAAATATCTGGGAATAACCCTGGATAGTAAACTTCTCTGGAACAGGCATATTAAGAACATTACCAGCAAAGCCACAAAGGCTCTCATGATATGCAGAAGACTGGCGGGAAATAGGTGGGGCTGCGCCCCTAACATTTTGCGCTGGATGTATACCATGATAGTAAGACCCATGATTACTTATGGAGCAGTTGCTTGGTATACAAAACTAGAGCAACGTACAGCAAGGCAAACCCTGTGCAAAGTACAGAGACTGGCATGTATCTGCATCACAGGTGCCATGAGAACATGTCCAACAGCAGCAATGGAGGTCATTCTAGACCTAACACCACTGCATATTGTCGTCGGTAGTTATGCCAATGCGACAATGATTAGAATGGTCATTGACGGAAACAGTACTGGGAGAATTTTCAGGTCAGGGGCTTGGAACACCCTCAAAAAGAAAATTCCACTTCTCCAACTCCCAGTGGATGACATACCAAGAATTTACAACTTTGAGAAACACCTCACTGTAGTATTGAGTAATAAAAAGGATTGGAAGAAAGAAACGCTTACTCAGCATATAAAAGACCATACCATCACGTGGTATACTGATGCTTCCAAAACCAAAGCAGGGACAGGGATAGGAGTATTTGGGCCGAAAACTGAATACTCCGAACCAATGGGCACCTACCCCAGTATCCTTCAGGCAGAAATTTGCGCTATCGAAAGATGCGTACAATTTATCTTGGATAGGAACTATCGAAAACAGGAAATTGCCATCCTATCCGATAGTCAAGCAGCACTTAACGCGATCAACTCAGTAACCATCAATTCGAAGTTGGTCAAAGAATGCCTAGAGAAGCTCAACAAATTAGGCAAAGAAAATAAAGTCCTCCTACTCTGGGTGCCTGCTCACCAAGGGATAGAAGGCAATGAAAAAGCAAATGATCTAGTAGGAAAGGAGCGAACACTCCACTAACTGGACCAGAACCGTTCTGTTTTCCAAACGGGAACCAACTGAAAGCGGAACTGAAGAATCTGGAAGACTCCATCCGTAACTTGGAATGGGTGTCCTCCAACGGTCTAAGACACTCGAAAAAGTTCCTTAGAACTTATGACCGAGAAAAATCAAAGGTTTTCCTTGATTTAAGTAAAAACAATCTTCGGATTGTCACGGGGTTTCTAACAGGACACTGTCTCCTCTACGAACACCTCAGTAGGCTGAAACTGAGAAACAACGGCGAATGCAGATTTTGTGGGGAAAATGGGGAAACACCAGAACACCTTATCACTGAGTGCCGAGACGACGACCATTCGTGCCATGAACCTTGGCACGTCTGATGTCGAGGATGGAGAGCTGGCCTCTGTGGAGCCGTCTCAGATACTGGCTTTTCTTAAAGCCCTGAGACTGTATGATGAGTTATAACTCGTTATAACTCAAGAAAGGGGAACACACAATAGATCTATAAGGTCGCGGTGATTAACTCCCCTTCTAAACATTCTACATTCTACATTCTACATTCTACATCCTTTATCTTTCATTTCCTTCTTCATTTGTGTAAAAATACCTAGCCAGTTTTACATAAAACGTTAAATGAAGAACGCTTATTTTGCTACTTTATTTTGACAGTTTTTTTTAAAGTTTGTTATTTCAAGAATACTAACCTTGTGAAAGCACTCTTTGCAATGTTTTCTAACTGGTTATAACTCATATCCAGTTTCAATAAAGTAGGTAGTGGTCCAAAGGTACTTGGCTTGATCGAAGTCATAGAGTTGTGACTTAAATCCAGAGTTCTTAAAGAGAATAATGTCTGGAACACTGCATTGAAGATATCTGACAAAAAATGTACAAATTAGTCTCTGTTAATTGTTAAGAATATTGAATTCAGAAATACAGTGGACCCTTGTTAATCGGAACAATGAAAAATACAATATTTTTATAATTTATATTTCTTGAAAAAAAAATAGAAAAACCTGAAATTTTTTAAAACCAGAAGGGGAAATTGATTACCTGAAAGGTTGTTGTAGGATATGTCTATTGTGTGTAGTTCGTACAGTTTAGGGAAAGTCTTCTTTGGTACGTTTTCTATAAGATTATGGGACACGTTCAAGATTTTCAGACCTGTCATATTATGTAGAGGAATCTGAAAAATATTGTATTACTAAAATGTATCATATGATCTGTGGATTTAAAAATGACGATCGATTACATTACCCGCATAAATTTACATATAAAACGACAGCGATCTTAATTTCAAAGCCATCTGTGACGACCTTTTTCGATCGTATTTTTTTTTTCATTTTTCATTTATGAGGAAATATACAAAGATGCGATTATCATCACTCCTACTTTGTTATGAAACTAAAAATGCTACACACAGATTTGTCCAGGTCTTCTTAGTTGCTGAAATACAGGGCGAATTTTAAAACGTTGCATTTTTCAGTTATCTTATAACTTATCGAAAAGGTAAAAATTGTGTCCCATAGTTATTGTTAAAGTTATTCACGTAGAATCCAGTGGCGTAACAAATATTTCGCTGGAAGCTGTCATTTTCTAAATATGACTCAAACTTTTTCTATTGTATTTGTCTTGATATGAGCTTTCTTAAAATAAAATATACTCTATAATCTGTATATTATGTCGACAAATAAGGTAAAAATGTATTTTTTAACTTTCACCTTTTCGATAACTTACAAAATTCTAAAAAAATAACCAAGATACGAAAGGAAGTTAATATAATGCAACAATTTCAAATTCGCACTGCATTTCAGAAACTAAGAGGGCTAGGACGAATCTGTACGTAGCATCTTTAGTTTCATAAAAATGTAACACAGTGATGTGAAATCCGCATATCTTTGTACCTCTACAAATAAACTCAAATGATTAGTCACTTATGAGTAACCGTGAAAACTTAAAGGGGATTAACATGCAGCATGATTGGGAAGAAGCAGATGGCAATGGAGAAGAATTGTAAACTCAGTTAACAGCGACAACCAAAATGTAAAAAGGTAACAAAGCAATGAGATTTTTGAATGTCCGGAGTGCGGTAGACAGATAACATCACGTATCGGGCTTTTCAGTCACAGAAAAGCTCATGAAAGAAAACGCTTTGCGTGACCATCTTCTGATGCGTGTCAAATACTCGTCAGCGAGTAATGGCAGTAGGTATGTATGTACAAATAAACATAAACGAGAAACCCTGTAAAACGCAAGAAAATGTATACACCCTGTACTCATAGAGAATATATTTATAATGAAAAAGATTCTATAATGAAAAAACTCACCTGATCAAAACTGGTGAAATAATTATAAGAAAACTGCAATTCAGTAGCATAGGTAGTTTCATCAAAAGCCTTCTTTGGTAGTGTTTTCAGACTATTAAATGACAGATCAAGTTTGGTCATGTTGGCACAATTTTCAAAAGCTCCACTTTCAATTTTGCTGATGTTGTTTTTCGATAGGTTGATGGTAGTCAGGTATAAGTCTTTGAATGCCAGTTTTTGAACTTCTGTCACGTTGTTTTCTGATACATCTACCAACTAAAATGTTAAAAAATTAATTTAACATCTGTTGAATAAAGCGGGCCACTCACGATACTACGCCGCAGTACGGTTATGTTGGATACGACAAAATCGGACGGCAATTGACAATATTGTATCGTGTGTGTGCACAACCGACCAAGTTGAATTGTATTGGATCGCAGTTCGAAACTTTTAACTGCAGCAGTAAAATCGTGCCGATTTCTGTAAAGATGTCTAAATATTCCCAGCAATTTTTAACTAAGTTTTTTTGAAATCTACCGAAGTTTTACGGGTCTTTCGAAAGTTAAAGCCCCAGAGTATCATGATCGTGTAGCAATCTACTTATATCTTTTCTTCTAATGAAGGGTGCAACTAAATTAAGTAACTGTAAATATGGTCTTCGTCCATTCGTAGATAATTACGCCAATCATCTGGGTACAGCCGTAATTCTTCGAGTAAATTAATATGTGAATATGTGGATCTTTTTAGTAACCATTTCAATTATTTGCACTGCACATACTGCAGCTGTTGCTAACAAAATATCTTCTTCGCTTTCCGACATTTTTGCTTGAACAACACTTTTAAACTATGTTTGATCGTGAGTGAGCGTTGTCAATTTGCTGCAAAATTGTTCAATTTTGTTGTACGATTCTGTTGTACGGCGCACACTGGTTCGCTCTTATGGACGTACGTGGCCAAAACCTGTATATTATTATATCGGGGAAAATTAATGTATCAGTTAATATTTTTTAGTAAATCTATAAATATTTAGGCGTTTGGAGTTGCCAAACATATAAAAAAAGTTCTTTATCGTTAGACGTTTTCAATTATACAGGTAAAGTAACGATGATTCATTAGAATTTAAAAGCGCAATTTATTTACCAATATTAATAAGTATTACTTTATAAAGGTATTTAGGAAAAATTAAAAAACAACAAACAGAATGAACAATGGTTAGAAGATATGCGGTAAATCGTTGATAAGCTAATAAAGATACAGGGTAGCCCATAAGTGTGAGAAAGTTCAATATCGTCGTTGCGTAGACGAAAATATAAGGTGCATATACTAAAAATATTTTGTTGTATAAAGGGTGTCCCAAAGTAATGATAAAATCCTGGGCTTTTTTAAATCATAACTCCCTTTTTTCTGTACATAATTTGATTCAGCATAAAATTGTGGATATATGACACTATTTTTATTTGAAAGACTATGCGGTGTTACCATGCTATTTCTTATTTATTAAAATTTTCATTAATAATAGTAGGTATATCCGAAAATTGGTTAAAATCTGAGGTTAATTTATATTTGTTAATATCTAATGCTATACTATGTTAATACCCTGTACTTTACCAATATTTTCTTAACGCCAAAGAAAATAGAATAAATTTGTGAAGAAAAACTCACATTATCTTATACCGGTCATTTTTTGTGGCGTGGCTAACAATCAAATATTTAAAATGCTCTACTTCAATTTTTTAAATGCACATTTATAAACCATGCAACATTTATATAAGACATTTGTTTACAAGACAATTTATGCTGAATAGCAGATATTAGCAGCTAATTTGACATGGTTCTCAAAAAAGACATTATGAAGTTTCATTTAAGTTAAAAACAATCACTTAGTTCAGCTGCGATATCCTTGATTTAGTTATGTATATAAAATATATTTCACAGGTACAATATAATTTTGATATTTTCAAATGGTTAGTACTATTTTTTTTCATTTTATCTGTCAAAAACTGATATTATATGAGGAAAGTATACGTGCAGTATGGTCTAATTATAAAATGCACTATTTAATATTATTTTGAAAACACTAAGTGAGTAATTTATTCATTGTCGATACAAAAACAGTTATATATGCTTTTTTAGACTATTGCATATAAAATGTTATCACATAAGTGCTCTAAAGTGCATGAATTTCCAAAATATATTTTTATAACAAACCTTTCATGTTTTTAAATATATATTATAAAATATTTGATCATATATGATCAAAATAATTTTTTTCGATATATTGAGTTTTGGCCAAATTTTTATAAGGGAGGGAACTACTGTGCGGCGCCGCAGTATCGTGAGTGGCCCGCTTAATGTTTATTTTTAGTAATAATATATATATTTTTTTTATTAAAAATATATATTATATATTTTTAATAAATAATATTTTCGAAAAACATCATAGGTGTATTTCTGGGGTTAAAATACTCAAGAGACACTTTTTATACAGGGTGGTCTGATCTGTACTCCGGAAACTTCAGCAGCATATTCTGCAGATAAAAATAAGGAAAAAAGTTCGTATAAATGTATGTCCCAAAATGCTTAGTTTCGGAGATACAGGGTGTAGAAGTTTCATTTTTATTTCGATTTTTTTCCAAATAATTTCTGAAGTAACGTCAATATTTGGATGAAAATTGGTGTCTGGAAGTTTTTTTGATATGAGAAATTTGATTTCGATGTCAATATGACTCCTATTTGTAGGGGGCACCACATACATGTGTTTTAACTGTTTTGAAGAGTAATAACTTTTCGTCCGTACCTGTATAAAACTACTTACTGAAAAAATATACATTTAGGTGATTTTCTACGTAAAAAATGCCAATCAAATTTCCCATTTCAAAAGACTAACAGACTCAAATCACAAATTTAATCCAGATATTGACGTTAATTCAGAGATTATTTGGAAAAATCGAAATAAAAATGAAACTTCTACACCCTGTATCTCCGAAACTAAGCATTTTAGGACATACATTTATATGAACTTTTATACTTATTTTTATCAGCAGAATACGTTTCCGGAATACAGTTCGGACCACCCTGTATAAATGGCTCTATATTTTATAGATATCTACCTCAGCAAAGTTTAACTGGAAGAACATCTGGTAGTCAATTTTTTTCAAGAAATTTCTGGCTAAATCTATAGTTCCTATCCTCTGCAATGCTGAAAAGGTACCTCTACCAACGTCAGTAAGCAGATTGTCAGCCAGAAATAAACGTCTCAAGAACCTCATTCCTCTGAAGGAGTTTGAATCTAGCTTTTTTATTTTGTTGGATGACATGTTTAGAACTCTAAGGACTGTATTTCTAGCAAACGCTCCTCTAAAATATAGAAAAAAATCATATATATAAAATACCATAAAATAGAAAAAACGGCGTCAAAGACGGCTGGGTAATGACAATCGATAATAATTTTGGTGAGGTCAATCTCTAGACGGCTCTAGATCTCTCATCGGCTGTCTATGACGCCGTTTTTTTTTCGATCGCCATTTCTTGAATATATTTTATGTTTTAATAGGTATAATAAAATTATTTATCAGGAAATAAGATTCTATGTTAGAATATTGTCATAGAATAACACTAATATATGTTTTTCTTTAAATAACTATACCTTGTGAGCTCTGTTATACTGTTGTGAGAAATATTTAACCAAGACATCTTGGTTAAATCTCCCAAATGCGTGCCATCAATTTTCGTCAAGTTGTTAAAACTTAAATCCAAAACTTCAACATCTCTAAGTCCCTTGAACTGGTTCCTTTTCAGATCCTTCAGTTGGTTGCCATGCAAATCTAGAGTTTTCAGTTTTCTAAAACAAATAGCCATGAAGGAAATATGTAGATATATAAGTGACTAAAATATACAGAAAATTTTGTTTCGAAAATAAGAGGCGTCAAAATGACTTGGGAATGACGATCGATGACACCGATGTCCATTTCCAAGCCAACTCTGACGCCGTTTTTTTTCGATCGTGCAATATTTTTCTCTAAAGTCGATGCATTTTTAAATCTTAACTTTGGTCCACTGTATAGGGTAAGATTTTTAGTTGTCTGGACATAATTTTGATATTATTTTTTCTCATAAAATGGCAAAATAAAACACTAAATCACCGCAATACACCTAGGGATGTGCCACTTGAAAATTTCAAATGAAATTTTCATGTCGGCAACTTTTCCAATGTAAAATTTTCATATTTTAAAAAAGTGAAATTTCATTGAAATTTTAAGTGAAAGTTTCAATTCGAATTTTTCAGCATAGAGGTTAAATTTTCAGAAATGTATCGTGAAATTTCAACTTACAGGTGAAATTTCAAGTGAAATTTTCATAAACCTCGCGAACTCCTTTATCCTGTTCGTATGTCGACCGTATCCAAGGTTATTAAAAGGTAAGGTTGTCTCGTAACTCGATCCGCCATTATGGAAAACGTCATCTACTACGTCATAGGGATGATACCGTTCATAGATAAAGGGATAAAAACTGCCCACAGTCCGACAGTGCATTTCCGAATCGATATTCATTGTGAACTTTATTGTTTAGAGTGTATGGCGTCAATAGTTTTCAGTTGTTTGATGTGTGTTTTCTTTATTGTATTGTCCATTTATCTCTCTTTGTCGGTTGCATTTTATTTTCTATTCCTTTTATCTATGATTTTATACGTTCTATCTACGTCACAGGGATGCTATTCCGCTTCGCTCTTATTGGTTCAAAAGTTACGAGACAACCTTACCTTTTAATAACCTTGGACCGTATCGACGTAAGTATCGATCGTTGATTTGCTCGATTTACTTGCGTGTCTGAAGAGGACCGGCGCGCGGCGCTTGACATTGACAAATGAAAAACCGCAGTAGATGTAGATAGATAGAGGTTATGATTTTCGTTGAAAATGTTGATGTATTTTTAGATTTGTTATTTTTGTGCATTTTTTGTGCTTCACACTTCATAAAGTTTATTCTGTGACCTGTTTACCTACCTGTGACCTGTGTTCTGTGTTGATTCCAATTTTTAAAGAAATAATGGTTAAGCCCAAAAATAGTATTTGGAAATATTTCTCTAATGATCAAAATAATACCAAAAAAGTAAAGTGCATTATTTGTAACGAAATTCATTATAAAAATGCAATTCGTTAATAAAAAAAACATTTTTGTAATTTTAAAACAAAATTGTAATTTGCATGAAATTTCCAAGGTGAAATATTCAATTGTCAGTATTTCAGGAAATTTATGAAATTTTCACTGAAAATTTGAAATTTTGAAATTTTCACTGAAATTTCCAAAATTTCAATCTTTCAGTGAAAATTTCATTATGAAATTTCAACATAAGGTGAAAAATGAAATTTACCCATCCCTAAATACACCAAAACACCTTTACTTTTACACTGGACGAGCGTTTCGCTAACCATGTTAGCATCATCAGCAGATGATTATAAACTAAGCGTTTTGGTGCATTGTGGTGATTTAGTGTTTTATTTTGCTGTGTAACACCAAAGGTTCCAACCTTCAACTGTAATCTCATAAAATGGTTTAAACAGTTATGTAAAATTAGATCTTAGATTCTCTATTAATGGCTATTTAAATATTTACCTAAGATGCTGTAAAGCTTCTATGGGTGGCGTATTCAATTTGCCATTTACTATATGCAGTCTCAGCAATTTTCCTGTCATATCGCTGTCAACAAAGGCATTTTTCGGTAATTCAGTCAAGTTGTGGCCGTCTATATTTAATATTGTTAAATTTCCCAAAATCTGAAAAAAAACGAATCTAATATAATTACAGCTACCTAACCAGGAAAGACCAAAAATTTTTAAAATATTTTCAAATATATTCGATACCAATTAAACTTTTAGTTACATAATCAAGGGCGAGATTTTTAAATTCATTGTTGCCAACCATGGACATATTCGGCGCCGGGCTGACTAACTGGAATTTAAATTTCCCGTTGGGGATTCAGCTGGTAGCCCTGCTGTAAAAAATGTCAAGTTGTCACATTTATTTATATATTTCCTGACATTGTCATTCGTTTTGACACTTTAGTTTTCTATTGCGAGTTTTTCGTTTAAATAAATTGTGTTGTGCTACTTTAAGCTTAAATATATTTACTAGCAGACCTTGCAGTCGAACATTGTTCTTTTTAGAACCTCTTTTAGTGCGAAGTGTACAAGATAGCTTAATAGCCGTAAAAAACTCATAGCAACTTTATTAGAATATTTTGAACAGAAAGCGGTAGTAAAGGTTCTTTATGTCCCTTAAGTGCTGTTAAGGAGGTGAGTTTTGTTGATGTAAATAATAACTGTTTATATATTTATAATTAATTTATTTTTATGACTAAAAGTTTATTTGATAGGTACTGTTTTCTTCAAAACTTTCTAATTTGATGGAAAATTAAAGTAAAATTCTAATTAATTTTCAATATTAAATCGCTCGCTGGAACGAGATTAAGGAAAGTTTTGTTCTGGATCGCTATCAAATCGATCAAGCTGAAAAGTTTGCTATATCAGGAAGTTAAAAACATGAGCCCATCAGCCCCAAAAAACAACAAAGCTCTTAGACTTCAATAATTTATTTTGATTTCTCTGTGCAATTAAGATTTATTTTCTTTTTAAAATCAAAAAAATAGTATAAATGGTATTGCAAATATACGTCAGGCACCTATAGCTATAAATACAAACAATGTTTATAATATGTAATTATAAATCAACCACACTGAAGTCGGAAATTACCAGTGGTTCCTTAGTAGAGGTGGGCAAAGATTGAACGAGTCGTTCATTTCAACGAGTATTAAAAATGAATCGTGAGATTCGCTTCACTGCTTAGAATACGATTCGTTCAATTGAATCGTAGCTAGCACGGATCCATAACATTTGAACGATGAGCCGTAAAAAAGAATCGTAAGAATTGAATCGGATCACAATGCGATCGTTCGTACAAAGAGTCGTGAGAATTGATTCATTGCTTACCATAGGGTTATTTGTTTAATTGAATCGTGGCCAGCATGGATCCATAAGATTTGAACGATGAGCCGTAAAAAAGAATCGTAAGAATTGAATCGGATCACAATGCGATCGTTCGTACAAAGAGTCGTGAGAATTGATTCATTGCTTACCATAGGGTTATTCGTTTAATTGAATCGTGGCCAGCATGGATCCATAAGATTTGAACGATGAGCCGTAAAAAAGAATCGTAAGAATTGAATCGGATCACAATGCGATCGTTCGTACAAAGAGTCGTGAGAATTGATGCATTGCTTACCATAGGGTTATTCGTTTAATTGAATCGTGGCCAGCATGAATCCATAAGATTTGAACGATGAGCCGTAAAAAAGAATCGTAAGAATTGAATCGGATCACAATGCGATCGTTCGTACAAAGAGTCGTGAGAATTGATTCATTGCTTACCATAGGGTTATTCGTTTAATTGAATCGTGGCCAGCATGGATCCATAAGATTTGAACGATGAGCCGTAAAAAAGAATCGTAAGAATTGAATCGGATCACAATGCGATCGTTCGTACAAAGAGTCGTGAGAATTGATGCATTGCTTACCATAGGGTTATTCGTTTAATTGAATCGTGGCCAGCATGGATCCATAAGATTTGAACGATGAGCCGTAAAAAAGAGTCGTGGGAATTAAATCGGATCAGAATGCGAGCGTGACGGTGATATAGGCATAGAGTCAGGCACTAATATTTAGATTTGAACAAAAGCCTTAAACAAACAGCATGGGCATAAAATGCAAACGATAAAAAAGTTATTTACAAGAAAAAAAACTAATTTATACTGTATTCAGTAGGGGATTATCTATTAAGGTATTTAATTTTCACGTTAATGTTTTTTTAAAATAATATTACCGACTATAAACCATTAAATGTTGGACTAAAAGACAAAATCGTATTTTTATGCAACTGCAAATAAATGTTGGCCTCTACTCAGTATGATAAAAAAATGGCATCAGCGATGGTTATAAAACGACGATCGCTGTCATTTTATATGTATAATTATATGGGGAATGTCATCGATGTTCATTTCCAAGCCAACTGGAAGCCATTTTTTTTTCGATTATTATGAACACCCTATATATTATTACATTTTTAGTTTCTACGATTAAAATAAAGGTAAATTTGATTAAGGTTTATTACACTTAAACCTTACCGTTTTTGAAATATCTTCAATTTTGTGAAATTGCAGTATAAATTTTAAGGCTTTATTTCTCCGAGGGTATCAAAGTTTTTAATACTAAATATTTACTGAAATTTATTTATTGATCAGTTATTGTATTGCAATAATAAAAACTTTACTACCTTATACAGAGTGTCTAAAAATTTATTTTAAATAATTACTAGCTTAAAACGGCAATAACTTGTTTAATTTAAATGGAACACCCTGTATATTTTATGCGAATCAGATGCATAATTTAATTGTCTATCAAATTGTATTATAAATTTTTTTACCTATCTCTTCAAGTTTCCGTAGAAAATGCATTTTCTTGTAATTTAGAACTCATTTATCAATATACCCATGGAATACTGACATTTTAGATTATTTTTAAAGATGTACCAAATTTTTAAAGAGTACAGATATTAATATTGTCGATATAGTTCGTTTATTTCATTAAAAAATAAAAAAAACTGTTTAAATATTTGTTAAAGAGGACCAATTAATATGATTTCAGTATTCAAACTACATTAATTGACTGTTTGCGTTGATTAATAATAATTGCTCCAAATACTAAAAAACTGAATTATGTATGTGTATTAGACAGTGTGGTAAAAAGTAACATCTTAAAAATTATATTTAATTTGTTGACAAATGCTTATTTATAACAACAGAGACTTTCATTTTCATAACTTATTATTATATTGATTTCTGATTCAAATCCACATTTATTTAGAATAATTTATTAACGAACACAATTAAGTATGTAGTTAATTAGTATTTGGGCGGAAATACTGGTGGTATATTTAATTAATGGTATACTCTTTTATAAAGATTTAAATAGTTTTCTTTTAGCATACAAATGGGCTAGTAATATTATCGTTTTAGTAAAAACGATAATATTACTAGTCTGTACATTTTGTACATTTGTTATTATAAAAACAATCTAAAATGTCAATATTCCATGGGTATATTGATAAATGAGGTCTAAATTATAAGAAAATGCATTTTCTACGAAAACTTGAAGGTATAGGTAAGAAATGGTATAATACAATTTGATAGACAATTAAATTGTGCATTTGATTCTCATAAAATATACAGAGTGTTCTATTTAAAGTAAATAAGTTATTGCCGTTTAAAGCTAGTAATTATTTAAAATAAATTTTTAGACACTCTGTATAAGGTAGTATAATTTTTATTATTGCAACACAATAACTGATCAATAAATAAACTTCAGTAAATATTTAGTATTAAAATCTTTGATATCCTCGGAGAAATGAAGCCTTAAAATTTATGCAATTTCATAAAATTGAAAATATTTCAAAAACGGTAAGGTTTAAGTGTAATAAACCTTAATCAAATTTACCTTTATTTTAATCGTAGAAACTAAAAATGTAATAATATATAGGGTGTTTCATTTAAAAAAATACAACTTTGATATTTTTTATTTATTTGTGACACTCTGTATCTTGTAAAAATATTTTTAAATTGTAGCTCTAATAGTCCTTCAACGAACCCAAAACTTACAATTTGTAAAGATCTAATCGTTTAGCTACAATACTCCGTGTCGTATGTGGTGGACAACCCTGTATATGTGAATTGGATTGATAATTTAATATTACTGGTAAAATAATCAATCCAATTACGCCAGTGTCATAAAGTGTTGAAAAACAAATGAAAATTATTTTTTTTTCTGGTCCCTTAAGTAATTGTCCGACGTCCGACCAAATTATCGCCGCTGGTGCCAGTTACGATTCTTTCGTACTCTTCGAAATTGAATCGTGTGATTCGATTCACTGAAAAGAATCGTAATGCGCCATCACTGTTCCTTAGATATTGCCTTCGATATGCATTCGCTGGCCAAATTAGAGAAAATAAGTGTTTTATGCGTTGGTCGCAGAATGGTTGGTGTCTCCATCGTACATCTCTTGAGACGTAAGAGGAAATCAAATCAGCCTTGTCACGAATTCGCCCATTAGGTTGCGTATCTTCCCAATTATTTCAATCAATCCTGTAATCTATTTTTCTCCATATTACCATTAGATCTATTTCTTAGCCAAACCTCTTACATCTTTCGCTTAGTTTCTTACAAATTTCATCTAACTTTCAAATTATAGCCTGCCGTAACCTATCCTTACCTCAAAATACTTCCCACGCAAACACAAACATAGGCAATTACCGTAAATTGCAAATTACAGTTCCCTATCTCTACACCGTTTCACCTACTACGAATATAGTAGTCTCCATTAAACTTAACTGTTTTCTCCCTTCTGTACCCAATTTTGTCTTTTGGCAACGACATTGTTTACCATGTTCGCTCCCCTTTTTATTGTAGTGATAAAAAATATTAGAAAATGTATTATCATGTAATTTTTTCATATATTCGCATATCTGTCAGCCTTTTATATGCTATTTTATGTCAGAAAAAATGCTTTTTTTCTTTTATGCTTTTAACTTGGTCCCCATATAGAACTGTGATGTATTTTATTAAGTTATAAAGACACCTGAAAATGAGGAATGTCACCTCAACTATGGTGTCGACATCCACTTCCTAAGTGACGTCATCAATGTCAACAGCTAATAGTTTGTTACCAT